CTGAGCTTACCAAAATCCGCCTTCCTGAAATCCATTCTCTCTATTTTGCTGTATTCCCTTCTACCCTTCCTTAGAATTTCAAACTCTATGATTTCATGATCACTTTCACCCAAGCTGCCTTCTGCTTTCAGATTCTCAACGAGTTCCTCCCTATTTGTTAAAATCAAGCCTAGAACAGCTTCCCCCCAGTAGCTTTTTCAACCTTCTGAAATAAAAAGTTGTCTGCAATGCAGTCCAAGAATTTGTTGGCTAGTCTGTGCCCCGCTGTGTTATTTTCCCAACATATATTTGGATAGTTGAAGTCCCCCATCACCACCAAATCTTGGGCTTTGGATGATTTTGTTAGTTGTTTAAAAAAAGCCTCATCCACCTCTTCCACCTGGTTAGGTGGCCTGTAGTAGACTCCTAGCATGACATCACCCTTGTTTTTTACCCCTTTTAGCCTAACCCAGAGACTCTGGACACTTCCGTCTCCTACGTCCATCTCCACCTTAGTCCAAGTGTGTACATTTTTAATATATAAATCAACACCTCCTCCCTTTTTCCCGTCTATCCTTCCTGAGCAAGCTGTATCCATCCACACCAACATTCCAATCATGTGTATTATCCCACCAAGTTTCAGTGATGCCAACAATGTCATAGTTGTATTTATTAGCACTTCCAGTTCTTCCTGCTTATTACCCATACTTCTCACATACATCCGGATGCCCACACCCCAGAGCAATCCACTAACTGGGGGTGGGAGGGAAGAGAGGCGTTGCCCTACCTAACCTGCCCGTGGGGCCCGATCCAGTGAGCTCAGAGATCACCTGTGCTGGATCTCTAGCTATGTAATCCATCCTTACTCGGTGTGGTGCTCCATCCTCCTCTAGTGGCGCCTAGACCATCCAGGGATTGATGAGTCTGCTACAGCCTTGGCTAAGAGCCATGTGGCTCATACACTAAGCTTCAGAGGTCCAAGTTTGATTCCACCTGCCGACAACCAGGGTTTGTCAGTGTTACAGTTCCACAAAAATGGCTGGGGAAAAGAGGCTTCCTTGTAACTTCTAGCCCAGTGGTTCGGGTTGCATAATTTCCAGCATATTTTTCTGTCTCTCAGCACCTGTGTTCTCCTGTAATCGATGGGCACAAATAGGGAAAGGGGCAGGCAGGGGACTCGCCATATGATACATTGCACCACATATTTCCAGTGACCCCCTTGGCCATGTGTGCACATTCAGGAGAATTTCATTGCCACTTGTGAAATGTCAACAGGGCCTTTTGACAGAAGCTCTCCCCGTGCTACTATATCGGTGTTTTCCCCAAAGATTCCCACTTTGGTCATAATGTCTGTTAACACTGTGATGGCCCTAATTTTTCCTTGTGCTGCCTCTTGGGCGCCAACAATGCAAACACAAAGAGCAGGTTTCAGATCGACAACTGCAGCAGTTTATTGTGATAGACACCAAAGGAAGGTGAAAAAAATCATCATAGATCAAGACAAACAAATTAGGAGAATCACGATGCTCGCACAGAGATGAAAGAAGAGACACACATGGATGCAAACATACAAGCAAAGAAAAGAGAGTCTCCTGGGTTTGCGCAGCTAGAACAGGGCAGCTTGTCCCATGAGCTAGAGAGTATGCTGCTAGGCCAATCCTGATTACAGAGCAAGCCCGACCTGAAGAGAAAGCAACTGCATGGGGGAGAAGGCAGGACATGACACCAGGAAGCTTGGAGGGTAAAGACTAATAAGGTGGAGACTTGGGGTAGGGGGGAACCGTGACTGTGTTTGGGAGTGGGCCCCAGCGAGGAGGAAATGTTTGGGAGATCAGATCAGAAAGGAAGAAGGGCCCTGGGGGGCGAGAGAAAGTGCGCAAGCTAAGGATCTTCCATAGTTGGTTGCAGTGTTGTAGCTGTGCTGGTCTCAGGATGATAGAAAGAGAAGGTGGGTGAGGTAATATTTTTTATTGGACCAATTTCTGTTGGTGGAACGTACAAACTGTCGAGCTCTTCTTTGGGTCCTGACAAAGAGTTCCATGCATTGGAAAACTTGTACATTCCACCAACAGAAGTTGGTCCAATAAAAGATATCACCTCCCCCCATCTCATCTCTCTCTAGAGCTAAGTATGGACCTTTTCTTTGTGTTGATGGAATGGACTTCAGTTTAAAACTCTGGGTTGTTCTAAACTGGTTCTTGAATGAAAATAACCCCTGGAAGGTGTACTGTCAATCAGAGAAAGCCTCTGTGAGTTCTTAAAAGACCTGAAGAGAGGGAAAAATGGAGGGGCGGGCCCTTCAGAGACACCCCTGGTCAAGAGGGGGAAATCAGTAGTCCCGTTATGCACCCTACACATACCTACAGATTAATAACAGACACATACCAGGCATTTCTGTTTTCTCCTCTCCTTGGACTGTCTGAATCTGAGATCTTTTATCTTTTCCTTCCAAGTCTGCACTTGCGTCTGGATTGGTTTCTGAGCAAAGAAACATGGTATGTGAGGCCAGGTCTATGTGACAAAATTGGATTGACTATGTCAGCAGGCAGCCATCACAGTTCTTAAATTGCTTGTGTGCGCACACATTTGGCTCCTTGTGTCGGCGGTGCACACCATCACCATGAGCACTTGTATCGATTGTACAGTCAGTGGGGAGCATTGTGCAACAGTCCCTGAAAGCCAGTAACAGTCCCAGCAAGCAACAGTGTCTGCACTGACACTGCCTCAACGTAATGACATCCACCATGAGTCTACGCCACTCGGGGAGGTGGTGTTATTAGATTAGCATAGAAAGGCACTTACGTCAGAAGGAGCCAATTTTAAACGAAAACACTTCTACAGCTAGATCGATGGAAAGCAGTTTACGTTGACCTACCCGTAATCTAGACCAGGCCTTACATATTTTTGGCCTGAGGGAATTCTGTGCCAAAGAATTAAAAACTCTGTGCACAATATTTTAAAATTCTGCATATTTTAGGTGTTAAAACAACACAATATAATTATGCCATTTTCAATTATTTTGGTAATTTATTTCAAAGTGCCTGTCAGCAAGTATGTGAGTAACAATATAGACAAACAAAAAGATTCAGGAAACGTTTTTTGACAAATAGATTCCTTACTAGGCATTTAGCACATCTATATGGCTCCCCAGAGCAGATGGCAAAACTAATATTTCCCATGTATTTCAAGCACAGAAGAGTAGAGCCCTGCAAATCCGTGGGGAACCGTTTCATATCTGCAGATATCCATAGACCATTTTTGTGGCTAGTGCGGATGCAGATAAAAATTTTGTATCTGTGTAGGGCTCTGATGGTAAGAGATGGACAAGCAGCTGTGAGGAACTGTGAACCCCCTGCCTGCCCTGGGTAGGAAGCCTGGGGGGGCAGGGACATTGGGCAGGAGTCTGCTCAGGCCCCCACATGGCTCCCCATTGCTGCCCACCCTGGTTCATCACGAACTGTCAGGGGACAGCTCATTCGGACCTTGCTTACAAGTCATAATTTTAAATTATAAGGTCGGCCGACATTGCCAAAAACTAATAAGTCAACGTCAGAAAAAACAACAGCTGTGAGAGGAAGCTCGTCTTTGTTCATACTTTTCAAACCTATTCTACTTTTTCAGGGACAAGTATTTTATCATGCACTGTATATGCTTTTAAAGTGTGTATTAATGTTTCAATTTCAGTTCAAATTTCCAACCAATAACTAAATGGGCAACACTGCATGTAACTAGATGAGCACTGGGTGGGGAGGTGTAGGGAAGTCCCTGTTTCACTGAATTAAGGCTCCTGCAGCACCTCAGTAGGTTACAGCAGACAGAGTCGCTGCAGTGACTACGCATAGGTGGTGCTGCCAATTTTGGTTGGGCATATTCCTGGAGATTTCATCACATAACACTCTTTAATTGAAGATGAATCTTTTATTCCTGGAGACTCCAGGACAGTCCTGGAGGGTTGGCAACCCTAGACATTGGGAAGCCCCTGCCCCAGCACTGGGAAGCCCGTGCTGCCTGTGAACATGCTCAGTGCATTCCTACAGAGAGCTGGGTCGGGGAGAGCAGCGCTGGCAACGAGCTATGGGGATCCTGGGTCTTTCCACCTGGCCTGGGTGGGGGGACTGGTATACTCAGGTCTAAACTTTCGGCTAGTTGTTCGTGTTTTCCTGCCTTGCACTTCTGAGCAGCCTTCTTGATGGGAACCACCCTGTGAGTGCGGTGCGCCCGGGATCTCTTTCACACCACGCAGATGAGGGTTTGATCCTCCTCGCAGAACCATTTCAGGGGGTTCCTGTGTTTTTTTGGCACTCGATCCCCCTCAGGCTCCTTCAAGGGTTTCACACCCTCCACCAGGTCCCCCAGCTGCCAGTTGGGCCGCTGGCTTCCCTGCGGGGCGGTTCCTCGGCACTGGGGGCAGGAGAAGTTTGTCTCCGACGCCCCCAGCACTGGCTGATGCAGGCCCGGCAGAGGCTGTGCCCGCAGTGGATAGACACCGGACCTTGGAAATAATCGCGGCAGACGGGACACGTGGCTGCATTGTGGCCGGGGCCGGGCTGGAATATGCTTCGCCACACAGCCTTGGTCTGGGGCCCTGCTCGGAGCCCCGCTCCCGCCTCGCCATGGAGCCCCCAGCAGCCCCACGTGCCCGTCTTCCACCAGCTCCGGTCTAGCACCTCTTCAGCCGCCCGCCTTGCAGCGTTGCGCATGCGGCAAAGTCACCTGGGGGGAGCGTCACGGCAGGAGGCGGGGCAAGGAGGGAACAGGTTTTCCGATAGGACGAGCAGTACGGACGTCCCACTATTGGATCCGTTGGGATTCCCTGAGTTGAATACCTACAAGGCCGCGGCCATCTTGCGACCTGCCTCTTCTCCTGCCGGCTGCCATCTTGCCGTACGGCCGCGCTGAGGGAAGGCTATTTCCGCTTCCGGGTGACGTCGGGGCTTCCTTTCTCTCTGGGCCGCTAGCTGAGCGAGAGGACGGGCCGGGTCGGGCTGCTGCCGAATCCGCCTCCATCCTCCTTCCCCGCTCGAGCTGAGCCCCCCGCGCCGCCGCCGCCATGACGGAGCAGATGACCCTGCGCGGCACCCTTAAGGGCCACAACGGCTGGGTGACCCAGATCGCCACTACCCCGCAGTTCCCGGACATGATCCTGTCCGCCTCGCGCGGTGAGCGCCGCGGGCCAGACCAAGCGCCCAGCCGCGGGTGGGGGGGAGTGGGAGAAACCATCTCGTAGCGGGTGCTGGGGGAAGGGGGACATTGTCAGGCTGCGCTCACGGGGCGGGGGAGAATAGAACCTAGTCACTGACGATGAGAGCGCGCTGGCAGGTTCCAAGCGGGGAGGGGGGGAGACCGTCTCGTAGTCACCCGGAGGTGGGAAGAAGATCCCATCTGGCTGAGGGGAGGGGAAGAGACCAATTCTCATCCGTGGGGGCAGGCAAGGGAGGGACCATCTCAGCTATGGAAGGGGGGTACGAATCCATTCCCGGAGGGGAGAGAGCCAGTGTCATCCCTGGAGAGGGGGCGGGGCTGCACTATGTGACTGGGGGGAGGGGAGGTTGGAGGAGTGTTGGGAGGGGCGATATGGGGGGGTTAGGGGTGAATAACATGCAGTAGGGGGGAGGGGTAATTCCCTGACTCCTATCGGGGCACTTCCCATCCAGGGCTGTCCAATTATCTCTCGATCTTGGGGGCATGTCAGAAAATCAGGGCCGCCCCCCCAGGCCTCAGTTTCCCTGTCAGTGCCGGGGGCACTTACCCTGTCTCGCAGGGGTGACTGGGAGGGTGGAACCCAGTGAGAGGGGCTTGGATACCTGGCATATAAGGTAGATAAATAGGAGGGGACCAGCTGCAGGGAGCCAGGAAGGGGTCTCAGGCCTAAATACTATGGGGGGAGGAAGTAACTCAATAGAAGAGGGGGATGGACATGCCTGTGACAAGGCCACAGGGGCAACGTTGGGGCTTTCCAACCAGCCTCAGGCACATTTACACACACACACACACACACCCTGCGTGTGGGTCCCTGTGGGCATCCCTGTCAGAGCATCAATATCCATCTCTGGTACCGCCATTGAGCTGCTCCACGCCTCCTCTCCCCAGCCCTGATGATTAGATCGTGGCTCATCCACTGACCCTCCCGGGTTCTGATGACATGTCCTGCAATGATGAGGGGATGCCTGGAAGGAGCGTTAGCAGAGGCCTGGGCTGGGCCCAGGCAGGGCTGGGCCCATGAATATAAAAATGAGGACAGGGCATTGGCTGGTTCAGGGTGGGGGCTGGAATGTGGGGTCTTTCTCCTGTAGCTGACACTGATCTGGTCATAAATGGGGAGGGGGGCCAAGGAATGGGATACAGGACTGGCTGGCTCCAGTCAGGCTCCAGGTCATGGGGTGACGCAATGTGTGGGGGATGAAGTGGGATACGAGGCCTTTCTCCTCTAAGCAGCACGGGTTTGGATCTAGCCCCAGGCTGGTGGGACTGGCTGGCCGGCCGAGGGGCATGGTGGGAAACAGCCTGTGGTGTATTTAGCTCTTGGCACTGGCCACGGAGGCCAGTCTCCTGTGCGACAGCCCCTAGGTTGGGGCTCAGGATGGCGTGGAGGGGGGATGGTCATAGTGTCATGCCAGGCCTGCGTGGGAATAGCAGGTTCCCCTTCCCAGGGCTGTCAGGTCACTCCCTGAGAGGAAATGCCCGTTAGAGAGGCAACTAGCCGACTTAGATTCTCCCTGCTCCCTCCACGCAGACAAGACCATCATCATGTGGAAGCTGACACGGGACGAGACCAACTACGGGATTCCACAGCGCGCCCTGCGCGGCCACTCACACTTTGTCAGTGATGTGGTCATCTCCTCCGACGGGCAGTTCGCCCTCTCCGGCTCCTGGGACGGCACCCTGCGGCTCTGGGACCTCACCACGTGAGTGATGGATTGGGGCGCAGGGGGGCGCCATAGACATCAGATGGGCTTTCTTGGCAGAGCGAGAGCCTGTACGAAGGAGGGTGGGAGGGGAGAGGGTTCCTATGGATGACAGAGTCAGACGGGTTCCTCTCAGCCCCATGACCTGTTTGTCCTGCCCATCGCAGCTCCCCTTAGCGGGGAGGGGTTGGCGTGCCAGGGAGGGGGACTGGATGCCTATCCTAGAGCCCCTTGGCTTGTTGTGGCACCCCTTAATGGTGCCCTAGGGCAATGTTTCAGAAATGGGTGATCATGACCCCTGGTGGGGGTCATTGAAGGCAGTCGGGGGGTGTCATGAGGCATTGACACTTATAACCTAAAGCAAAACAAAAGTTCGCTCCCCCCTCACACCCTTCCCCTTTCAAGTCAAGTGTTCTCTATTCTCAGTCATTTATACAGGTTTAGCCGTGTCATCACCGACCCTTTATTTATTCATTCATAGTCAACGTCAGGGGGGCTGCGAACGTTTTTGACATCAGATCAGGGGTCTTACACCTGAAAAGTTTGAGACGCTGCTGCAGGGAAATGGCCAGAACCAGACCACAAATGTGTGGGGTAGTTTCTTGCTGGGCCCAGGATTGGATGTACCCAGTGGCCAATCATCCCTGATTCCAGCCATTGGGGCATCTGGATTTTTTGAGGCACTCCTCCCTTTCCTCCCAGTCCCAATGATTAGATCTGACACATGTCTGCTGACCCCTTGGGGCGTGATGACATGTCCTGCAATTATGATGGGACAACGGGAGAGACAGGGAAGTGTTGGGCTGTCTCTTGGCTTTTATCCCCCGTGACATCACAATCCTTTGTTCCTTTGTCTTAATACCCTGTCACGTTCTTCCTCGGATCCACCCCTTTTTTATCTGGCTGAGCTCCCTCCACTGCTGGATCTTGGGGTCCCCTTCGTGTTTAATGTCCTGGCTAGTTCCTGGCATGTGCTTCTGCCTCAGTGGGATCCCCTGTCACTTGGCCGCCACCCTTTGTGCTCCTCTCTGTGGAGGTTAAAGAGGATTTTTCACTGGGAGGCTTGGGAACAGGACCTGCTCCTAGCAGGAGGGAGGCCGGCATAGCTGGGATGTGAGGAGAGGTTCCCGTAGCTGGCCTGGGAGTGACTTAGGAGAGTCTATTCCCTTGCAGAGGTACCACCACCCGCCGCTTCGTGGGCCACACCAAGGACGTGCTGAGCGTGGCCTTCTCGTCCGACAATCGCCAGATCGTCTCGGGCTCCCGGGACAAAACCATCAAGCTCTGGAACACCCTGGGCGTCTGCAAGTACACGGTGCAGGTGAGACCTAGGATGGGGCTGCTGAGGTGTGAGGTGGGTCAGGCATCTGCCCTAGACCCCGATCACCTCCCTGAGTCAGGGACAGAGAACCCAGGAGTCCTGATTCCCAGGCCCCTGCTCTAACCCACTAGATCCTGCTTCCCTACCAGAGCCGGGGATAGAACCCAGGAGTTCAGATTCCCAGCCTCACTCCGCTCTAACCCACTAGGTCTCACTCTCCTCCCAGAGTCAGGGATTGAACCCAGGCATCCTGATTTCCTGTCCTATGCTCCTGACTGTTTCTCTTTGGGTTTGGTGGTGGTAAAAACCCACTTACATTTTGAATGCAAACCTGCCGCTCTGGTCATGGGGGGCCGGGAGAGAGAAGGGCCTCCGAAGCCTTGCAGAGAAGGGGGTGGTTGACAAACAGTTGGCTCAGAAGAGCTGGGGGATGGGATCTGGGGCCTTTCCTTTCTGCAGTAGGGGACTTCGTGGAAGAGACGCTCGCTGGGTCTTTGGGGAAACCCTTCTGAGTTAAGCTGGAGCAACAGTCCCTGGGCTCCCATGCATTAATTTAGAAGCATCTCTGCAATTGCCCCGTGTGTGTCCCCTGCTGGGAACTTGCCCTGCTCCCAGCTGGCAGAGGATCCAGGGTTCTGTCTTGCCTCCCCAGTCCCGATGATTAGATCTGACACGTCTGCTGACCCCCCTGGGGCCTGACGACATGTCCTGCAATTATGATGGGACACAGGGAGGGCCGGCGGAGCCCTGGGCCAGGGGTTCGAGCAGCAGCTCACATTGGGGGGGGGGGGTGAACCTAGGGCTGGTGGGGTGTGAACCTAGGGCTGGTGGGGTGTGAACCTAGGGCTGGTGGGGTGTGAACCTAGGGCTGGTGGGGTGGAGCCCCTAAGGTGTGGGGACATGAGTGGAGGGTTGGGAGCAGAGCTCTAGGTTGAGTGAGAGATCCCTGGTCTCCCATCTCTCTCCTCTAACTCCTCCCCCTCCTTCTCTCCCCAGGACGAGAGCCACTCGGAGTGGGTGTCCTGCGTCCGCTTCTCCCCCAACAGCAGCAACCCCATCATCGTCTCCTGCGGCTGGGACAAGCTGGTGAAGGTGGGTTTGAGGCCGCGGTGCACTGCAGGGGGTCGGGTCCCCCTGCTGACCCGGGGCTGCTTGGAGT